TAGAACGGGACTGTTTCACATCGGAGGAATGGGTAACATGGGAATCATGGTGATGGTGGTGGTGGTCATGGTCATGGTGGTGGTGCTCAGAAGAGACGGAGTGACGGTGCTCCTCGTTAAAGTCGACCGATGGCACTTTGTGATTCTCATGAACGATCTCGTATGGCTCGTAGGTTGGCTTGTATTCAGTAATATGTTCCATTACAACTTCTGGTTGGTAAGGATGGACGACATTCTCAACATACTCGACCTTCTCGAAACCGAATGAATCCTCGCTTCTGGTGTCAAAAGGTGCCTAAACAAAGCTGAACTAGTACTGAACGTGCTTATTAGAAAATGGTACCTGGACAGACGGAGCTTGGTAATAAGCTGGAGCAGCGAAATCGGTGTAGTCGAGCTCGTGAGATCTGTGCAAGACGTCGATGCCGTTTTGAGAGCCAACAACTCCTCCCTGAAAAATTGATAGATTTTTTTGGGATTGCGCAAGTTATATGAAAACAAATTACTTCAAATTTATTTTCAAAAAGTCTCGCTAGTCTAAAAAGTCTTCGAAAAGTGTACTCACCACAGCAATAGAATGAGTCAACTTGGAAGGAGCAATGGAGTCCTCACTGTCACTTTGAAGGTGAACCGATGCTGGAACAATGCTAGATACCACAGATTCATCTCTTCCGTGCAAGTTCTTGAATTGTTCAATAACAGCGTCATGCTCAAGAGACTGTCCAACAGCCAACGGAGTAGCGGCAGCGGATCCGACAACACCTCCAACCACGACACCACCTCCAACAGCTCCACCAACAACCTGAAAGCATAAATTTTCTTTTTTTTTTCGTTTTCTTTTTTTCTAGATTCCCAAACTCACAATTGGTTGATTAACCAATGTTCCCTCAGTAATGGTCGATTCGCTGTCATGAGTCACTGCGGAATGGTGAGAATGTTGAGAGTGGTGAGAGTGGTGGGAAGCAACAGAATGACGGGATCCGGATTTGGAAGAAGCTTGGGAGGGAGCTTTTCCTACCACTGCCTCACCAACAGTAATTGGTGGCATATCGTATTGTGGGATTGGTGGAAGGTCATAATGCTGGAACTTTCATTTTTAGTCTTGCTTAATTTTTTGGTTTTCTTACTTGAGCAGACTTCTGGGAAACACTCGAATGAACAGATACGGATGTTGCTTTTGAGAGAGCGGACACCTAAATTTTCTAAGTACAGTATAAGAGTTTGGACGTACAGTATACAGGTCAATCAAATATATATTTTTTTAATATTCTTCAGTTAATTTTCGGCCAGTTTGAGCATTTTCCGGAATGTGGAGCTCACATGTCAAGTGTCCGATAAGTTTGAAAACTTTGGAGGCAGTAAAACAGAACTAGATTGAAATTTAACATCTTCAAAAACTTTTGAGATCTCCTATTTTTCACCTATTCGCCGATTTCTGAAAGACACCCTTTCTGCCTGTTTTTGTATTAAATACGCAAACAAGAGATGTCTGTCAAAAATCGGCGAATAGCTAAAAATCTAGGAATTTTCAAAATTTTCAGTGAATGCAAAGTTTTCATTCTAGGTCTGTTTTATACCCTCCAAAATTTTCGAAGTGTTTGGAAACTAGGCCGCCGAGCTTCAGACTCATGAAAATGTTATTTGAGGGGTACTGTACATATATTTGCCCTTATTTTGAATAGTGTACCTCCGAGCGTTGATCCTCGAAATCTACAGTCGGACGGCGGTCTTGTTGATGTCCAACAACGTTTCCAACGGTAACCTGAATTAATTTCTTTTTCAATTACTTTTCCTTTCATTATTTCTAGTGCATGTCCTTTGCTAATCCCTTGTTTTCCATATTCCAAAATTAGACAAGATGAAGATGAAAGAGCAAAAAATGATTTTCAGTTTCCAACTAGTGATAAGAAAATTAACCACAAAAAAGCGAACGATGACGTTTCACTCCCAAAACTCACCCCAGAAGAAGTATACTCGAAGTGCTCGGTGTGGGATTCCACGTGATGGGATTCCTAAAATAAAAATAATGAAATTCATCAAAAAACAAATTTCAGAATCTCACATGATGGTTTACGGTATGCGACTCTTCATGGTGCTCCTCTACAATCGTTTGTCCGACAGTTGGAAGAGTGACAGCCGAGAAGATTTGGTCCATCAGACCTGGAAAAATTGAATTTAAAAATGAAAATTCAAAATTCTTGGAAATTTCACTCACTGTCACTTTTATTTCTAGTCACCATCATCCTTTAATCCAGTTCTTATTTTTTCCGATCGACGAGCAACAAGTTAACCTAAAAAAACAATCAAAACCTTAAAATATTTCATTGTATTATTGCGAAAGCGAAAGTAAAATTGGTCTCAAAAAGGCAGTCGTGCTCTTAACTCTGTTATAAACGAGCAAACATGCCCGGCAGGTGATAACTGCCCCATTTGATGTAAGATGATAAAAGCCCCCCGAAAGGTAGAAAGAAGACAGCAACAATTTTGTGATACTGTGTGTGACACGCAACACACACTTTTGGTTGAAATTTCAGATGATGAAACGCAGAGACAAAGTTGGAGGGGGGGGGGGGGTGATTCCGAAGCGGACACAGTGCAAAATTGATAATCAAATATATAATTTCGTGACTTTGACTTCCAGCATAATGCACACATATTACAACACCATAAAACACATCAGAAAAACTGTTCCAAAAATTGGGAGATAATTTTTTTAATGATGCATAAAAATGTAAGCTGACGTTACTGAAAAAAGAAGGGGAAGAAGTAAATTGAAGTGTCTGAAAAATGTGGGCGTTTTACTTGTTTTTTCAGTCTGGTTAATAATGGTTTGAAATAACAAATATTAGAACCAAGTGAGTCAGAAGGTAATATATATTATTATAGGTTATCAGTACATTCTTGGCAAAGGAAGTAATTTGTAATAATATAGTTTAACGAGGGAGTTCACAGAGGAACTCTATGACAATTACAATATGTTTTGTCATTATACATCACTTCCACTGAAGGAAATTACTGAAAAATCAGGGATTTCCATTGAACAACAGTACAAGTAATTAAAATATACAAAACTTTTTCCAATCATTTTTTAAGAGCCAACTTGACAATTTCCAGGATTCTGAAGCTTGGTTGTCCAGCTTTCCATCACTTTGAAACTTTTGGAAAATGTGAAACAGATCTAAATTCAAACTTTTGCATTCACAGTATTTTTTGAAAATTTCTAGTTTTTCCTCAATGTTCCGATTTCTAGAAGAGTGCTCCTTAGAAGTTGGAAAATGGCTGAAAATCAGAAATCAAACAACGATATTTGGAAAAAAGAAAACATTTGTCCAATTCTATGGACAATTTTTAATTCTACAGAAAAGAAAAATTGAAAATATTTGAGTTCCTCAAAGTTGTAACATTTTTTCATGTATGTAACACACAATTTGAAGAAAATGATAAAAAGTTTGTGCCATTCCCGTATACTCTACTAAAGAGCACCCATCACATTAGGCGTTTTTTTCTATTCAAAAAAATTCAGAATCTTCGGAATTCAAAAAATTATTAGGAACACCCATAACACATCCTTCACGGAACTACACAGTAGTCACGTGGCAAATGAAAGTATTTTAGGCGGTTGCAGAAATCATTCCTCATTCGTCATCATTTTCCTGATAAGAATACTTTTTTTTTGAAATATTCTCCAGCAACTAAAAAATGGTTTTTTAAATTTAGGGAAAGGGGATGTTTCAGATAAATTGTACATTGAAGTAAATTAGAATAAATTCGGCTCTTTATGACAAGGGGGGGAGGGGCATGATAAAAGGGGGGG